AGAGTCCGCAGGCGGTTCTGTCTTCAGGGCTGCTGCCGCTGCGGCCCAACTGGGATTCTGCAGGAGCACCCCAGCCCGGGGTGAGAGGGGCGAGTGGGGTCTGAACAGCCCCCTGGTAGCTAGACGGCTCATGTACGATTCAGCCTGAGCGGGCCACTTCCTTCCTGCCTATTTCTAGTGAAATGTAATTTGGATGCATTTTCTCCTCTTCGCTACCAGAATTGACTACTACCTCTTTACTACCACAGAGTGCTTGCTGCCCACCAGAGCTCAGTAAATAGGAGTAGATGCTGGATTCGGTCGAATGAGAAATACTGCTCTCGCCCTGGCCTGGGGGTGGGGGGGCCTGGGGGACCTGCCCGGGGCCTTGGGCAGTGTCAGAGACATTCTTGTGATCATGGCCGGGTGTGGAGAGGTAGTGCCCTGGCGTCTATTGGACAGAGGCCGGGCAGTCTGCCAAACACCCTGCAATGCTCAGGACAGCCCCCAACAGCAAAGTAACATCCCCCCCAAATGTCCATGGTGACCAAGCTGGGAGAAGTGGTTTGTTCCCTCCGACACCAGTTTCAATCCAGTACCTTCAGGTTCCTGCCAGAGGGCTGCTGGGTGTGACTTGAAATGCATTCCTTGCCTTGATATGAAATATGTCATTACAAAGCAGCGTTTCTGTGACCGTCACCTGGAATTTGGGGAGCTTGGCCTCAAAATGCCAGCGGAACGGGCTTTTTCGTTCCTCCCATCCTCTGTGAGCCGCTGCTACTGACCCCACTCACTCAGGCCCACTCGATTGCTCGCCAGGAAACATCGCCATCTTCTAGTCTGGCCTGCAGTTGTGGAGTTCATTTCTGACCTCAAAGACACCTGGACGCAATTCGCATCATCAGAACCATACGGTGCCTGCTGGGTAGAAAGGAGCAAGGTTGAGGAGGATGCTTGTGGGTGCCAGCCGCGGGGTCGCAGCCCTCTCCCACCCCACGCCCCGCCCTCTCCCCCCGCGGTCAATATTTCCTTGAGCACCTACTGTATTTCAGCTGCTATGCTAAGTGCTGGGTATTCCGTGGAGATGCAAACGAACACTATTTCTATGCTCCTGGCACCCAGCCCCTTTCCGCTGTGTTAGCGTGCGTTTACACAACCTTTGCGATGGGCAGGAATGGCGCTCGCCACAGATGTGGAAGTTACAGGCAAGCGCACAAGCAGGGTTCTTTGTTGCAAAGAACAGAATGAACCCTATGTAAATGGAGCGTAAGAGAAAACTAGTAAAGGATATTCATTAACTCACAATCCCCGGAGAGTTGGCAAGGCGTGATGCAGCAGTAATCACCAACAGAACACCCCCCACCCCCAGCAGGCTGCAGGCACAATGCCATTCTTCTGGGCATCCCCCAGGGAGACGCTGCAGGGGGTACATGCTGCACTGCCACCCATTTCTTTCCTGAACCCCTTGGTTGCCCAAGATTGGTGGAATCCAGGTCACATGCCTCTGTCCCAGCTGCAAGGGGAGCTGGGACGTTGAGTTTTGCGTCTCCCTTGGCGAGGTAAGCAAGATTCACAAAGTGGAGATTTCCTCAGCTAAATGAGAAGGCCATTCAAGAGCTCACAGGCGTCTCCCGCTAGGTCATAAAAATGGCTGCAGCCTCCATATATGTCATAAAAATGGTTTGCAAGGTTTGTGAGCAGCTTTGCCACTGTCTTTAGCAACAACACGACTTCTAAGAGTGAGGGAGGCGTTTGAGCAGCCCGAGAAAGGAGACTCCAGACACCCAGAGACATGCAGTGGGACTTAGCGCAGGGAACAGTGTTCCAGGCAGGGGAACAGCACAGTCAGATGCCCCACCATCAGGGGAAAATGACGCATTAGAGGCAGGTGTTTTTTAAACCTTTGATGCCCAACGTGAGCATTTGTTGCCATAGTGCTTTCCACGAGAAAGACTTGGTTCGTTTCATACATTTCCTGGCTCAGCTTTCCACAGACTAGTTTTGCAGTGGAAGAGTCCCAGTTCCTGCCTGATCAGTCTCTGCTGACAAAGCGATTAGCAGCTGAACAGGAGCCCAAGCTCATGCCACTGAGATGGCACCAGGGAGAGCTGTGTGCCACAGTGCGGGATCCTTGTGACTCTGGAGATGTCTGCAGTATTATGCAACCTGGCTTTTCCCTTCTCATCTTCGTTTTGCAGTATTTCAGTGGGATGGTTTTAAACGTGTCGAGGATGGCGGTTCTCCTATGAATTTAACTCAGCTAGCAAAATGCCCCAGGTCTTTCGAACTCTGAGGAGTCAGGCGGCCCTTGTGGGGGTGTCCGGACACCCCCAGCAAACAGAGACGGTTTGGACACATCCCACACGGTGAAGACCGCTGGGGTTGTCTGCCTTCTGCCCCCTTTGGCCTTTTCTCCATCCGTTTCAACTCAGACACCCCGTTTCATTTACTTGTGATCACCAATTTTTCTAAGTATTTTATTTTATCAGGTTGTGGGCTACGGAAACGCCCCCGGTTGTCCTGTCTGATGCCACATCCTTCCCAGGGCCGCCTTCACCTCGCTGTGAGCGGGGCCCGTGCGATGGCGGGCGTCTGCGGGTCCCCGCTCTCGGGTGGGGTCCCGGCCTCACAAACAGTGCCCGAGGCCCTGCGGGCTGGTGGCTCCTCTGCAGTGGCCTCGTGTTCTTTGGCTGGAAGCCCTGCAGCACGACCGCCGGGCCCACGGAGTTGCACGTTTAGTTTCCAGGCAGGCCTAGGTGCGCCCCGAGGTGCTGTCCCGCCATCTCGGCGTCTCACCTGGGAGGATGAACGCCTGGGAGATGATGGCGGCGGAGAGCCCGCAACAGGGAGAAGGTGCTTAGCACCTGAACTGGACACTTAAAATGGCTAAAGCGATGTGCAACACCACCTTACACCTATCTCACCGCCGTGAATGTTCGCTCACACGGCGATGCAGCAACAGCAGCCGTGGTCCACGGGATGGACCGGCCTCCGTGGTGCAGTGTCCCCTGTGGCTGTCCCAGCGGCCAGGAGCCACCGCCGCCGCCTCCTTCCGCTGAGTCAGTTCTGCTGCTGTGTTGACGAGACTCTTACGCGGTTCCGCGTCCTCTAAACAAGGCAGCGGAAACACTGCCCGTGTCCAATCAAAGGCAAAGGACATGCGGTCTGCTCATGGGGCTCTGCCCCAGGCACCTGGCTGGAGGCGCCCCTGGGCTGAGCACCCCTCTGCCTGCAGCAGCCCCTCACCTCCCTCCGGAGCCCAGAGAGGACCCGAGACCCCCAAGGACTCATGGTGGGCACCAGTGCCCGACCTGGCCGGGGCCCCGGCTCTGGCTGCTGCGGCTGGGGACTCGGCCTGTCCAGGGCAGTGCGGACTCGGGGTGCGTGACTCCCTAGGGCACGGAGCCAGCACGCGTGGAAGAGAGAACCCCCAACTTACCAAGTCACCCGTTTTCTGAAGAAATTAAGTTTCCAAACCCGATATCACACAGCTCATTAACATCTGGAAAACGGCTCCTTCCCGCTCGCCCTCTCTGCCCTGCTAGGGCGGCCGGGTGGGGGGCCTGGGGGTGGGGGCGGGGGTGGGCACGGGGGCTTGAGCCAGCCCGCCTGGGCTCAACCCGGCACCTGGCAATACCCGCCCTCCCCTGGAGGGTTTCTATGGGGCTGCCCTGGCTAAGGTGGTGATGCCCTGGGGCACGGCCTGGGCCGCAGGCTCTGTGCTCACGTCAGCCGCTGCCCTTCCCAGGCCCGATCCTGCTGGGAGGCCCGGAGGCTTCGGAGAAGGTGGCATGAGCCCCATGCACCCCACGGTCAGCTTCACCCCTGGGGCCTCCTGGCCTCCCGGGGCTGGGAATCCTGATAAAGACGCTGCTCTTTTGAGCGAGACGCTGGTGTCGAGGTGCAGTGTGACCCTGCCTGTGCTGCTCAGGGGTCAGCACCACCTGGGGGCCAGCGCCCGTTTCCAGCCCCCAGCTCAGGTGGCCGCCCTCTGCGTGCGGTCAGCTCAGCTCCTGCCCAGGTCCTCCAGGCCTGGACTCCCAGCTGGGGCGCCGGGCGGGGAACCGCCCCTGGGCCCACGGTGCTCACGGGGGGCGCCTGGCTCAGGTCTCAGCGGCGTCTGGGTCCGCCAGCCACGCTGGCCTTCCAGAGCCGCCCCGTCACGCCGCCTCCAGGTGAAGCTGCTTCTCAAACAGCTCTCGGCGCCCCCATCTGCCACCACGCTGAGCAGGCCAGTGCTTGGAGAGCGCTTCTGCCCTTTGTCTATGGGGAGCTCCCTGCCGGGGCGCCCACGGCTTCTTCCCCCTCAGACTTGGGCACCAAGGCCCCGAGCTCACGCTGATTGCACCCCCACTCCCCTCAGTCCAGTCGGGGCAGTGGGGGGTGGGGGGACGGCAGGGCCCGTTTGTCTCCAGCCTGGTGCCCCCGGGCAGTTGCTGAGCTCTGAGCCCCGATGTCCCCACGGAAGGGGGGGCTTCCTGCAGGGCCTCACGGGCCGTGGGCGGGTGGGATGGAGACCACCGACTGGCTCAGCCCCTTGCGGGAGCCCCCGCCCCCGACACGTGTAAGGCCAGGAAGGAGTGACGGGACTTGCTCAAGGGCAGGGCCTCGTTAGAGGAGTGCGTCTGGGGGCTGGTTCTTGGGCCCTGGGCGCCGTGACCCCCACAGAGCAGCGGGCTCACAGAGGCGCTCTGCCGGGCTGTCTGCACCGGGCGGCGCTGGGAGCCAGGAGGAGGCCCGTCCAGCTGGCGCGCCCACCCCTCGGATGCCCGGGGGGGAGCCACCGCCCCTGCTGCCCTGGCTGGTCAGCGGTCAGTGGGCGCCACTCGCCCGCCGGCCTCGGGCCCTGGCACGGCGCAGCCCCGGCTTGCCCGTCTGACCGCCAGCCGGCTCTCTCGGCCTGCCTGCGCCTCCCCCCCGCCCTCCGGCAGCCTGCGGCCCCTGTGAGAGGGGGAGGTGCTGCCTCCCCCAGGTGCCCGCCCGCAGCCCCTCACCGCCCAGCCCAGCCGCCCAGCCTCGGCCTGAAAGCAGCCAGTGTCCGGGGCCGGGGGCGGGCCGCGGGAAGCACGGGGTGGGGACCACCGAGCGGCCTTAAGGGGGCGCGGGCCACCGGCCCTGCTCACCATGGCGGCCCCGCTGCTGGCCCTGCTGCTGCTCCTGGCCGCGGCCCCCCCCTCGCAGCCCGCCCCGCCGACCTGCTACTCCCGGGTGCTGACCCTGAGCCGGGAGGTCAGCCGGGACTTGGAGAGCCTGCAGGCCACTGAGCCCTGGGTGAGTCCCTCCCGCCGGCCGCGGCCGGCTCCGGCCCAGACCCCCAGCCCCGCTGCTCAGAACCTCGCCTGACCGGGGGCAGCGGCGACTTCTCCTTCCGGGTTATGCTCCGTCGCGAGGCCGTTTGTGTCTGGTGCTGTTCTCTTAAACACCAGGTGGTTTGTACATTAAAAAATAACAAGGAGAAGTCAGCAAAGACAGCACAGCTTTTGTTTACGACTTGCTAGAAAAGCAGAGTTGCCACAGAAGGTTTCAAACCGGAGGTCGTCAGCGCAGAATCTAGAGCCGCGGATTCCAGCGGCACGCAGGGCAGCGTGGTGATTAAGGGGCGCTGGGGGCTCCCGGGCCTGGCCCGGACTCGAGGCAAATGGCCCCACCCTGGGCTCCGCACCCCCCAGAGTGAGGATCAAGGGGACGGGTCTGGGGCAGCTCAGCCGGCCGCACGCTGGGGGGAAACGCGCCTGCACCCCCACACCCCACCGTGAGAGGAGCGGTCGGGACCAGAAAGGGGAGGGCAGAGGGCCCGGAACTGTGTCCAGGCCCCTGGCTGCTCGTCCAGGACAGAACAAGGCGGCTTCGGCCCACATGGCCGCTCTCTGCCGGGGACACTGAAGCCAGAGGCATCTCTCGGCGGCGGGCTGACGCCCCCCTACACACCACGTGTGTCCTTCGGGAGAGTCCGGTACTGCCTGCTTTCTTCTGACGATGAAACCACACGTTGCAAGGGGCCGAAAAGGCACAAAGGACCAGGGAGATGAACCCCCCTGCCAAGTCCACCCCAGGGGCGACCGGGCTGACCATGCTGGTGGCCGGCGCTCGGGCTCCCGGTGCACAGCCGTGGGCCGCCGTGAGGGTGGGCGCAGACAGGGTGGGCGCACAGAGGGGGGGCTCGGGCCTCCCCGAGGCGCCCGGCACGGCGTCAGCCGCGAACCCCTCTCGCTGAGTACAGGGCGAGCCCTTGTGTTCCTCCGGGGGAAAGTCAGCTCACAGCGCTGCTCTGTTCTGGAAGGCTCCGCCCGGGGCAAAGCTTTTAAAGGAATCTGACTTCAAAAGACAAAGAAATACGTCTGCAGAGCTGGGAGGAAGCAGCAGCCTGTGTGTTCTAGCTCTCGTTTCACAATTGGGAACCTGGGTCCCGTGGCAGCAGGCACCCCCAGCCAGGCCAGTAGGGCAGGGGCCACAGGAAGCGCAGGGTGGGGACCACTGAGTCTCCGGGTCGTCAGTCCTGTGGCCCCGTGGCCCCGGCGGACGGCCAAGGACTGGACACGGGCCCCAGCCTCCGAGAACCCCGCACAGATGGGGGCCCCACCCGGCCAGGAGCCAAGCGGGCCCTGGGTGCTGGGCGAGGACTCTGAGTTCTGAGCCCGGGCCCAGAGGAGACTTCCTGGGGGGAGGGAAACGTGACAACACAGCCGTCGCACAGACGGGCCAGGCGGCGCAGGCCTCCCCGTCCACTGGGCCAGTTTGGTGGACACGCAGGGTGTCGTGTCTGCTTGCGGCTGCTCTCTGGGCCGGAGGCGTGTAAATAAAGCCGGTTCAGTGTTGTCGGCCCATGCTACAACAGACATCACATACGCAATGAAGGCTTCAAAGAGTCAGATTCTGGAAGGGCATTTTGCGGTTTGGTGACGGGACTGGGAGCAGGACGGGGCTGCCCTGCTGAGGGCGGGGGGGGTGTTGCGGGGAGCCCTCTGGGCCAGGCTGAGGTGTGTCCCGAACCCCTTTCTGTAGGAGCCGTGCGTGAGGCACCTGCCGAAGCTCTACCTGGATATTCACGTGAGAGGGGCGGCCTGCCCGGGGAAGCCGGGGGTGGGGGGTCCTGCAGCGCACCAGGACCCCAGCTCCGGTGCCTCTGGCTCCAGCCCCTCCCACAGCCCCTCCCCGTTGCACCTCCAGAATTACTGCGTGCTGGTCAAGCTGCGGGACTTCATGGCGTCCCCCCAGTGCCAGAGAGCCGCCCCGGTGGACGCCCTGAAGGACAAAGCCAGGAAGCTGTACACCATCATGACCTCCTTCTGCAGGAGGGTGAGCGGGCGAGACGCCGGTGTCTCCTCCAAGAGGCTCAGAGCCTTGAGAAGGGGCGGGGGTGGGGGCAGGGCGCGAGGAAGTGAACGGTCTCTGGGTGCAGCCAGTGCACAGCCTTCTCCGGCCATCGGGGTGAGGACTCAGCACCACGTCCCTGGCCGCCACGAGCCCACGCTCCCGGGGCCACACCCCAGGTCAGCAGAGGGGAGAGGGTGCCACGGGAGGGGTGCCTGTGGTGACTGGGAGATGAGGGGAAGGACACAGGAGAGGCGGGAAATCCGCGCTGGTCCATGCAGAAGCAGGGCGCCGACCGGACACACCCGCGCAGAGTCCTCCTGCGCCCCCCTTCACCCCGAGCCACGCATCCCCTCTCCGTGGCTGAGGGCCAGTGTCCTCTCCTGCGGCCTCTGGGCAGCGACGGGAGCTGCATCCTGGCCCGTGTGCCGGCCCCGTGGCAGCCCCTTGGCCCTAAGAACGCAGCAGAAAGACAAAGAAGCCCCGCAGGATGTCTGGCTGGTCAGGCGTCGCCGGACACTGTATGAGCCGCTGTCCAGTCAGAGCCTGTTTGCATCCCAGGTCTGCCCCGCATTTCCTCCACGCTGTATCCCTCCTCGCCCCTCCTCCAGAGCGGGCGGGGCAAGGAGGTGTAGCTAGAAAACAGCCCGATACGGGGTCACTGGCGCAGAAGTGGGTCTGCCGCCTGCCCCGTGCCAGGGCTCAGGATCGAAGCTGATTCATTTGCTCCCTCACCCATGCGTCCATCTGGTCAACTGACGTGTGATTGACGTCAGTGAATACAGATGATTCTATGGGGTGTGAAGAAAGATGTGTCAGGCCTCCTGGGAAAGTAAGGGGACACCCCTGGCCGGCTGGGGGGGCAGGCACAGGTCCGGGCTGTGCGTGGCTCCGCAGCCAGCTTCCTTCCGTGACGCCCCTCCTCGGCCGTCTTCTCCAGGACCTAGTGTTTGTGTCGGATGACTGCGACGCCCTGGAATACCCGAGCCCGGTGACCACGGTCCTGCCAGGTCGCCAGAGCTGAGCCACGACGGGGCGGGCCCAGAGGGGCAGAGGTCGTGGCCGTGGCCCTGACCCAGTGGGCTGTAGGCCTGGCCCCAAGTGCTCCCGTTCTGCAGCGTCTGGACCTGCCACACGCCCGCCTTCCAGAGGGCAGAACCCGAGCCCTGCCTGAACCCAAGCTAGACGCGCGTGAGCCCTAGAAGCCCCGCTCAGTCCCTCCCTCGGCTTTGTCCCGCCCTGCAGACACCAGCACGGCTATTTACTCGCCGAGACGAAAGCAGCAGCCTGCTCCTTTTACGTGCCACTGGCTGGAGAACCCAGCAAAACAGCAACATCGCAGCACGGCCTGGCTGGCCTCTCTCTCGGCGGGAGCCTGCTGCGCCGAGCAGAGCTTCTGCGCCTGGCCCCCAGCGCGTGCTCTCCTTAGTTACTTTCGTTCTTAAAGCATGTGTGTCTATGCACGCTTCACCACCCCAGAGAGCAGACGGGAACGCTCTGCACGGAAAGGTGGTAACATGGAATAAAGGCCATCCCCGCAGGAAGCGTGTGCTGTGTCTGTCCCAGGAGGGCTTCAGGGCCCCATTCATGCCCTCGCTGCTCTCGGCAGGGTGCTGCGTTCTCCCTAGTCCCATCAAGACCAGGTGTTTCTGGGCCAGCCCGGAGGTCTGTCAAAGTCTGTTGTCGCGGGGCTCAGGCTATATACCTTTTGCCCTCCCCGCGGGCAGTGTTCGGCCTGATCACCGTCTGCACGACACACCAGGCCGAGGCTCAGGTCAGTTCGCCGTCCAAGGTCCCCTGCTGGTAAGCCGGGGAGGACAGTGTGGCTCCGCCAGCCCCGCTGCTCATCCCCAGCATGTCGCCTGCAGAAGCGCGTTTGTGTAACCAGTTCACAAACCCGATGCAACCCCACCTCAGCAGTCGGTGCAGACCCTGAGAAATGGCATGGGGCTCCCTCAAAACTAGAAGCGGGTATGTTTGATCCAACACCCCAACTCCTGGGTATCTGCCCACAGAGTGTTCACCTCCCCCGCCCCACCCGCATGACCTTGCACAATTCCCGGTTCCGTCCACCCACTTCACGCTCCTGGTCCCAACAGACTCGTCACATGGACAGTCCCTGCCCCAGAACGTGGAGTCAGCAAGGCGAGCGACTCCCTCCTGCCATGTGGCAAACAGTTTGCCGGCCCTGATGCTACTGCTCACCCAGATCACCGAGTCACCAAACTCTGGGCGGGGGGTCCAGGGTGGGCTTAGAAGGATCATCGGCACGGCTGGCCCTGCAGATGTGCAGAGATGACCCCACAGCTCTCCGGTCCTGGGGCCTGTGGACCCACCTGCAGCTACGCCACCCTCTCCTGGGTCTCTAGCTCATGGATGGTGAACCCGGGGGTTCGTCCGTAAGTGCACGAACAAATTCCTTAAGGTAGACGTTCGTAGCGGAGAGACAGATGCAGCTCTCTGTGTGCCCACCATGTATTACCCGTCACCTAACTCTCGTCAGCAAGCGGCTATCTATTACCTGTCTGTCGAACTGCTACCAGCTGTCTGTCATCTATGCAGGATTTCTACATCCTGTTGGTTCCAGGGAGCCCTGCCCAGCAGGGTGAGCCTGCAACCTGCCTCCGCCCCTCGCCAGCACCCTGTCACGGCCATCGCTGCTGCAATCGCCCCGATTAGCCCCCCGCTGTCACTCTGGCAGCTCCCATCCAATGTCTACCAGCGGCCAGAACAGCCTTTTCCAAGCATCACTTAGACCACGCCCTTCTGCTGAAAGGGGAGAGGGGCTTCCCACTCTGAGCGGGATTCAAGCCTCGCACCCTGGTCTCCCAGGACCGCTGTCCTGCAGGCCCCACCACCCCAGGGCTTGAGGTCATCATCCACCGCGGCTTGTTTTCCTGCTGGCTGCGTGTGCCCCCATGTCATTCTGTGTGACCACTTTCCCCTGCACCTGGCACCCTGCTGGGCACTTAGTAGGTGCTCAATAAATATGTTTTGATGGGTACTGGATACCTCTGCGGGAAGACCAAGAAAAGCCAACAGTTAAGCTCTGGTCATTTCCAGGCGGCCTGCCCTGTTCTTTCTTAATGAAGTACACGCTGTTTGCACACACCCAGATGCACACAGACACAGAGGCTGGCCGCTGTCTCGGTGAGCTGTTAGTTCTCGCTGGGCCTGTCAGCTTCACCACCTCGGTAACTCATACACACGCAGACACGCACAACCACATGTACACGCACGCACACACACACCAACATCCTCCACACACGCGGTGGCTGACCGAGCCTCTCCGTGAAGCGTGACTGTGCGCATGGCCAGCGGCAGTGAGCAGCGCGAGGCCCTTCCCTTGCATCCTGCCTAAATGCTGACTCACCAGTTGGACCCTCTCAGCGCTCTGGATGGCTAATCTCAGCATCACACCTTCACATCCAGGGGCGATTTATACCAACTGAGATTTATAAGGCAAAAATCCAAGCCTAGTTGATTTGCAAAATTGCTAATCATGTAAAGCTGCTTCTACATTGGCAGAACATTCTGCAGATTGCACGATCAAGAACTCACAGGGTGGAGTCAAGGATGGCGCTGAAATGCACTCAGGGTTAGAGAAGGAGGAAAAGCAGAAAGTGGAGCACCACGATGCGGAAAATCGCCAAGCCAGCAAGCATAACTCAGGCTGTGCTCCTGCACGGAGCAAGGATCCCAGGAATTATTTGGACACGGAGCTACATTTCAGAAACGTTTACAGTCAAGTTCCTGAAATGGCTGCCACGCAAAGACAGGAAATGTGCGCCAGGGTTATTGCTTTGCAACTCACTTCATCTTGATCCTGGTGCTGTGGCCTCAGGCCAGCTAGAGGGCTGCATTGGGGGGCGGGGGGCAGGGAGGTGCAGGGAGAGCAGGTCGGCCCTCACTCATCAGCAACTTTTAATTTTTGCAAAGACTAAAACGTGTGTTCCAAAATGTCAACAGTTTCTCTTCCTGGGTGCTGAGTTGTGGTACTAATTTATCGCTGTCTTTTTTCAACATGTTCAAGTAACTCCAGAGTTTTCCATGTAAATCATTCCATTCGCTGAAATAACTGAAGCCACCTTCCAAAGAGTGATACAAATGTTACATGATTACGTCCCCCCCCCCTTTTCTAACATGTCTTTCTTCAAAAAGCCAGCATTGCTTTGGGGAAAAGGGGATACCCCAAATTTCCGGCAAAGGGAACACCCACAGCAAAGGCGAAGCTTCCCTGCCGCTGGTTCTTGGACTGGTCTAGCAGGCAAATCCACATCTGGCAGGTTGGGAGAAGGGAGCACACTGTCTCGTGCACCTGAGGAATCTACCTGGATGAGGCGCTAAAGCCCCAGGGGCATGTGGGTCCTGGGCGGATGCCCGGGGTGGGGGCCTGGGCTCCCAGGAGGGCAGGGCTCGCATGGCAGGGGCAGGGCTCAGGCCACGCGCCCTGCGAGTGGAGTCTGAACTGCCACATCCATAGCTGTCTTTGCTAGAGCTTGTTTCTGGTAACCCCTAACCTGCGCGGTAACTGCCGTTTTCAGTCCACCAGGGAGAACCTCAGTTCGTCCCAACGCAAAATAACCCACGTGCCAAGTGGCGCGTGTGCCCATGTGGAGCCCCGGCCGGGCCAGGCTGGGCTCACGCCGCCCTGCGCCGCTGCTCCTCACTCACGGCCGCGTCACGGGGCTGGTCAGGGCGTGGGCGGTGCCGAGGCCGCGGGCGCCTGGACAGTGGCGCAGGGAGGCGGACTGGACTGGGGGGTCAGGAGGGCGGCTTCTCCCCCGGCGCCCCGGCCAGGGCGGCTGAGCCCCGCCCCCGCCCGCCAGGGACCCTAGACCCATCAACCCCAGGGGGAGCCCCTCCCCTGGCCCACGGAAGAGCACTAGCCGAACTCTCGGCTCCCCCATCCCGCACAGGGGCTCCCGCTGGCCACGCCACCTGCGCCCGGAGGCAGGAAACCACCAGGACACAGGGCTTCCGGCCAGCCCGGATGTGACGCTGCCTGCCCGGAAGTGACGCTGCGGGCTTGGGCGCGCCTCCGGGCGTCCCGCTGCGCCCGTGCCACCGGTGGCTCCGCGCCCTGCGGCGCCCTGTGGAAGCGCCGCTGTGAGAGCTCGCCGCTCTGCCCCGGCGTCCACCGGCAGTGGCCCGGCCCCCCCAGCCCCCGCGCCTGGTCGCCCTGTGCCCCACTGTGGGCCTCATCCTGCCAGCCCTCTTGCTGCGTTCCTGCAAATGGAAAATTCTGGCGCAATCCATCGACGTCACAGCCTGGAGCGATGTCATTTATTTTTTTAAAAAAAGAAAAAAAATGTTTTGATTTAAAAATGCGACAATTAAAGAATCCTTATTGTAAATTAGTCAAAAGCGGGCCCTCCCTGGTGGCACAGCGGGTGAAAGCACAGCACTGAGGAGCTAAAGCCACTTCAGCACAGTTTGATCCCCACCCCGGAGGGGACCCGCATGGTCACCTCTCCTGACCTCTCCTGACCTGCCCGCAGCTCCACTCAGCAGTGGACTTGTCAGTGGGCCTGTCCTGCTCCCCACTCTGTCTCTGCTGAGTCCTCTCACCCCCTGCACCTCTGGCCTGAACCCCAGTTCTGAGCGCATAAATAAATCTTTAAAAAAATTCAGTCAAATGCAGGGGCTCATTTTCTGGAAGCCACATGGTTACAACACATATTTACCAATAAAATGAATGTTGATACACAGTTTGAGGCTGGAAAGTTGATCAGGAAGCGGAACCCATGAGCCTGGTGGGCTGGTGAGCCCGGCGGGCTGGCTGGGGAGAGCCACCCCCAGACGCAGGGCAGGGCCTAGTGCTGAGCTCCTGGCTGGCACCCCCTACCTACCCCCCAACCCCCACACCCACAGAGGCCCTCTGGTGTCATCAGCCCTGACGAGCCCTTTATCAGTGTCACAGGCCTCCTGAAATCGGTGATAAGCCTCCCTCACTCCTGCCCGCCCTCTGCTGCAGCCTGACACTGGGAGGTGGGGCCCAGACATCATAAAATCAGGGGCCCCTGGGACTGGTACTCATACATGGATTGATGGCCTCTTATCTCTGACCACAGGCTGTGTGCCTCCAAAACGCCAGTCCCGGAAATCGGGGCCCTGTCAGAGTAAGGACGCGGTCAGGTCAGGGACTGGGAAGGCCCAGCCCAGCCACTGCCTCCGACCCGGGTCACCCGCCTCACCCCCCTGGACAGGTCACACATGTGTCCACCTGAGGTGCACTTCCTAAAGGACAGGGATCTGGCAGGGCAGTCCTGGCAGACTCCTCCACCCTGAGCCCCCACGATGCCCCTCCCACCAGTGTACCCCCACTCTCAGCTGGGAAATAAGCCCCTTCGTAGCTGAGTGCCTGCAAGTATCATTTTCCAGAGGTCCTTCGTGGCTCATGTCGAATGCAATGGTTCAACGTGGGCACGCTGGGCCAGGGTGGCAGAGGCCTGGGGATACTCACATCGTGGGCACTGCAGAAGTGACCTGTCCTCCACAGAGAGCAGGTTTGTCCTGATCTTCAAGTCGCCCCATCTCTGGCTGCTGCTGTGGCCAATGAGAAGTCAGT